GTCTTTAATTAATTTTTACTCCTATCAGTCATGCAGAACCAAATACATAATAAAAATGAGCTCAACTGTAATCTGTTTTTGTGCATCATCAATAAAAGAGCTAAGTAGCTAAGTTCCACTTGCACAGAAAATTATATTGTCATTAAATCTTCATAACCTTATTGGAAACAAAGTATTACACAAGGTTCACTGCCAGCATAATTTGAAGGAATAACCTCGTAATTTCAAAAGTAGACAGGTTTTCCTGAAGAATCAATATTTATTATGATAGAGGATTCATAATCCTTTATGGATTTTGAAAAAAAAAAAAAAAACACCCCCCCCCCCCCCCCCCCATTTGTGACCTCAAGCAGCTTTCACTAGCTTAACCTGAAAATAGACTAAAACTCAATACTATTCCTACAGACAATTTTGTGACTAAAAGCTCCCTGAATGTTGTATTATTTTATGGTCTGAATCACCAGATTTTACACACAGTATCAACTTCAAAAGAGTCATTAAGATCTAAGGTCCTGTCTTTACAGACACTGAAATGATGAAAGCAGTAAAATTTTTGAAATTCTACTTTTTTCCCACAATTGATACTGCTTGCTTTTTGGCACTTAAAGTGTAATAATGTGTTTTGTAGTCAGTCCATTGGCAGACTATCACTTCCCAATGCCCTGTGCACCACAGGTGCATCTCGTGCTTTTCTTGCCTAAGAATGTGCAAAATGTGCACGTTTTTTTAACCTTTCAACATACTTTCTTCAGTAAATCTGCTTTTCCACTGAAGTTCAAAATTTTAAGTTCTTTCTGTATTCTTTAGCACATCAATAGTAGATGTAAACACTTCTATTGTCCTTCAGTTCATTAAAGAAGCGTACTATATAGCCATATATATCCATATTTCATTCTGACACATCAGAATGAAAAACATGCATTGCCACTAAGTATTTACTATTATTTATATTTCATATTGATTATTTTCCTAAAAGAAGTTTCAAATTAAACAAAAAAATCATAGGAATACAAATTCACCATCTACAATTAATAGCAACAGGATTAAGGTCAGACATGATGTCTTAAAAATTAAAGTTAAATCCTTTTAGTACCTTAAGGTACTGCTATCACTGTTAGCCTGCAAAAATAGGATCCTTTTAACAAGCTGTAAAACAAACTTTGCCCTCTTTGAGCTACTGATCACACACAACTTCTATGCAATTAAAGGTCCATTAACACCCAGTGGAGATGTTTAAATGGATCTTAGTGATTTAATACACTTTTCACTAAATTGGAAGAGTATGTACTTAAATTACCTAGATTACTTTTGAAATCTTGACATGTGGTTTCTTAAAAGGGTTGGTTTAATAAATATGTATAAAGAACTACATATAAATGCTTAATAAAGGTGCTCTTTAAGATTACTTACCGGATTTTCTTCAGTAAGCTCATAGCCACACTCTCTGAGTACCCAATATTCACTACTAAATTTATCCTTACAATTACTTTTGTGAGACAAGCTTCTCATACTTCACACACAAGAAACTAAAACAGAAATCATAAATGATTTGCACAAATCCTGACAGTTGCGTCAGAACCCAAGGCACTTGATTCTAGAGTTTTAAGTCCTCTTCACAAATACAAATCTTAACCACAAACCAGCCTTTCCCTCTGAAGCAATACACACCCCATTTACAGAGTCATTATCATCCCTATTTCATCAAAAAGAGCACCAACAAATATTTCCTTTGTTTAAAAATGAGGTGAGATATCTATATATCAAATTTCTTCCTTACATGTGAAGAATGGAAGCATCTTTGATGAAGTAATTGATAAAATTACTTAAAACTGTTCTAAACACTTTCCAGGCCATCTTAAATGACTAATAGTTGAAAAAGACTTAAGCAAAATACGTCTCCTCTCCCTTCTACACAGCCCGTCATAAACTCAGAGTTGCCCACTCATTCAGAACATGACTAAATGAGCTCTTAGGCTACAAATCCGTAAGATGCAGTGAGCTGACTGTATTATTCTCACTCACTGCCTGAAACAGAGAAGAGCTCCTGCTTCTAACTGCATGCCTCTAGTGCTTACTTTCTGCTGGTTCTGGTATTTGATCCTTCTGTGAGCTGATTTAACTCTCTAAAAACAGAAATAATAATAACAGAAATCTAGCAGAAGTATCGACAAATTTCTCGTTAAGTCAACAAATGGCAAAGCCTGAGAAGTACCAGAACTTGTAGCCAGAAAGCAGCAGGATTATACAGTCCAAGCTGAGGGAGCCGGTCTTCCTCCTTTTGGCAATGAGGAAATCAGCTTGTCTATAGTCCAACCAGATTCTGTACATCTTTAATTTCTGTTCTGAGGTGTTTCAACTTACTGTCTGCCTTACATTATCTCAAGTATCCTCACTAAAAGGCAGCTGGTTTTTTTGGGAAAACAGAGATGTCACACCTAACACAGAAGAAAGGCTACTAAAAATCTGTAAATAAGGACAAAGAATTACAACTGAACTATACCAAACATTTTCTTTCTGCAGAAAGACAATCTTGCATTATACTAGTAACTGCAATAGGAAAGCTATCAAATAAGCTTTGCCTAGTGGCATTTATGATAGCCCAAGACCACGTTACAACTTTTAAGTGCCCAAGCGACTTTAAGTGACTAAAGCACTCTGGCAGGAACCTCTTTTCTCACTTGACACACACAGATTCCAGCTCTAAATTTAAAAAAAAAAAAAAAAAAAAAAAAGTTGGAACCATTGTAACTAGCATTCAGCAGCAGACCAATACACTTCTACAAATCACTTTATCACAAAGGTGTCTGAAAAGGAGGGGAATAACATTAGGTAACAGGATTTTGGGGCTTGGATTGTTCAGATAACAGGTTTCTGGGGGTGGGGCACAGTTTTCTGTTGAGGAAGGCAGGGAAATAGTACACTGCATCTGATCCTGATGCACAAAGAAATGGCCTGGACCTTGATATATCAGTTCTAAGAAAAAGAGAAGTGTTGGATATTCCACATGCTCCTTCCAAAGTTTTATAGGATCCTTACAATTCTTGTCAATTTTTTCACTCTGAACTCTTCAGAGACTTTCATCTTTTCATGGCCTAAATTCTCCATTTGCCCTTTAAGGATGGATCAAGACCATGAACAGACACAATGAAAGGTGGAAATATTGCTGTTCTTACCTTTGTAACAAGGAAAAAATGCATCAGTATGATTAATGACTGAACAAACTGTGATTAAAACAAGTTAAGGCAATTTAATTGTCATTCCAATTACTGTTAAACAAAAGTAACTTGTGGCTTGTACTTTCCAGGACAGCATAGTAACAAAGCTAATTGCTCCATCTTCAAAGAACTGTTCCCCATTTTCCCTATGAATTTTTCAGTAAGATACTGCTGAAAGAGGAGTTTTTTGATTTTTTGTTTGTTTGTTTTTTTGCAAAGGCAACATGACACTCATTTCAGTAAATCCTTCTGGCAAGAATATCCAAATATCCTCTTGTCTCTATTGTAAGTATTTCACTTAATATACAAAACAAAAAGACCACTCAAGCAAAACAAAAAACAAGACCAAAAATGTGCAGCCTATTTTGCAAAGACTGAAATCTTTCATTGTCCAAAAACCATTGGTTTATTTCTTCTCCAACATCTTAAAAGTTGACTTAATCCTATGAACGAGTACTTAGTATTTTGCAGCTTTTGTTTCATAGCATACTTCTAAGTATGTAGTCTAAGACAATTCATAGCCCTCCTAAGTGTTTGGCAGAACAAATAAATGCTTCAGGTATACTTTAGGTGAATGTTAAATACCATTTTTGGAATCAGATATACATTACCCATACTGCATGGATACTGTTACCTAAGAAGTTAGCAATTGTAAAAATAGAAAGGAACAGCATTTATGCTAAAACAAACAAATTTATGGACAGTTGCTAATGGGGTTTGGCAGGTGTTGCTGTCATTTTAATTTGCAAATGTTCATCTAGTGGAGAACAATTTTTTTCAACTCTTCTCTGAAGTTACTGGGTAGCTTGAAAAGATACTGCACTACAGACACACAGGTATGCTCAAAGTTCTGCCAGTGACTTAGCATACCTAGAGATAGCCATATACTTTGGAACATAATTTAAAAAATGAGTGGGATTTACCTTCCTACTATCCTTTTTGGTTTTTTTCTTTCATTTTAAACATTTTGTTCTGTATTTGGCCTCAAATCATACCACTGATAAGATGAATGCACAGCACACAGAAAACTAAGAACCAGAAGTGTTGCAGAAGCGATACATGTGATTTAGAAAGGGAAGATCCAAGATAAATGTTCATCATGTTACATAGATACCTTGGATTCATAATTAACTTAACAGAGCTTAAAAGACTTTCTGATGCAGGATGCTTTGCATTTCTTCCCCGCCCAGAGTTTTTAGCAGAAAGTAGATCAGAATCAAACTGGGCAATAAAAAGTGGAAAGTCCATGAACTAAAGTGTACAGACAGCAAATAGTGTAAAAGAAAATCATTTTATAAGTAACACGTACAACAAGCTGATAAAGCAAATGACATACTCAGTAAACCCACAACTCAATTTTGAAAGGAGAATTTGTTCATTTCAGAACTCAATAGCAAGTATAAAACATTAAAGCCATCTTAAGACTGAACTCCACTTCTGTTATCTTTGAATTTTTTTATACATTGTCTTACGATTAAGACATTCATTACAGTTTAGCACATCATATAATTTACAATAATTCTCTACAGAACAATATAGTTAATTCAGTATCATCAGTAACTTTATACAGATACAGTATTGAAGCCATGTCCTCTTTTGCTTACCGTCAAGTACAAAACAGCTTATATAGACTAAAAAAAGCTACACACCACAGTTGTAGCATACCGTGTTTTGTGCCTGATTAAAGTTTACAGTAGTGGCTTTTTGATCTTTCAAGACAAATAAACATGATACCACATAACAAACACTTGTGCAAACTCAGGCTTAGGAGGAAGACTTAACTACCTCCTTTTTCCAGAACTACTTTTCCCTGCTTTACTGCTGCTACTACCAGACTTGCTGGAAGATTTTGAAGAGAAAAGTCTTGTCATGAATTCGGAGACATCTGGCAGCTCATGGTTGGAATTCAGCATGTTCATTGATTGCTCCATTTCCTGTGTGCAAAGATTAGATAACCTTAATAGCTCATAACAGTTCTGGCTGTTTCTAAGGCATCAGTTGAAAGATCATATCAGGAAGATGCCAGATCTTCCCAAATACTGTTTTACTATTTGTAGTCCTCCAGGGTACATATTGCTACATATTTTTATGCAACCACAGCCAAATGCCCAGCTACAGAAACATAAAGCCCCAAAACTAAAAGCACTGGTGTACGGAAAAAGGTAACCATGTCTTAAGCAGTTTTACAGGGCAACCACCGAATTAAAAAAAAAAAAAATCTAAAAGAAAAAACGCCATTATTTATTTTCAGCATTACTTTCCTCCATTTTAAAATTTAAGCTTTTGTCTAGATTTTCAGATCTGTGATCTTACAGATTTCACATACTTTTGTATTTTCAAATTAGTATTATTTATGCTAAATCTAAAAAATTTTGGAAGCTGTTTGAAGGGATTAGATATTTTTATTGCCCTACTCTGTAACATCAAGCTATTAGTGTACAGCAGCTAAGTTTTCTTTGTTTCATGAAAGGAAGGATTTTAATATAAGACCGTATATCCAGCTAAGCTTAATGTAACTTTAGAGTTTAGCATAGTGGCTCTACAAGACTGATTAGTATGGTTTAAAACAAACAAATCCTGAAGTACTTTTAATGCATACAACAGCTGAACTGCACATCTACAATGTGATAACGCTTATAGTAATTGCCAATTTAATGTGGGATTGTCACCTTGCTCTTCTGGTTACCATTCAGCATGATACAGCTTTAACTGTCTTCAAGGTACAAACAAAGCAAAAGCTGTTATGGTAGCCTTCGTTACTATTGCATCTATACTACATCTGTACTTAAAGTACTTACAGTAGCTAAATCATTAAGTTTCTGTATAAACTAGTACTGTGCTGATTCCATAAAGAAAAAAACAAGCTAACTTGAAAAATGTAATACAAACTTCATAACCTCTACAAGAAAACTGGAGGAAGTATGGATATACACTTAAGAATTTAATACATGGTCATCTAGAGAATGCCATTACAACCGAATTCTTAAAAACTACCTTCTCCTATTCTTTAATTTAAATTACAAGCAAGATTCCTTCAACTTAAAATTTCTCCTTAACAAGTCATATCAGTCAGCTAGTAACAACTAAATCGTCAGAAGTTCTGATGGTTTACCACCACAATGGCCTGTCTGTAAGCAGTGTCAGATCAGTGAAAAAAGTAAGCAATAAGTGATTTTTAAAAAATTCAACTTCTAAAGTTCAGCTTGGTTTGAAGAACATGCCACAGATATCTAGTATATCTTTGTATCATATTTTCAATCAAAATTAAAGCCAAAAAAGCATTACATAGCTCTGCTATGCTTTTTATAGGTATTACTTAAAAAAAAAAAAAAAAAAAAAAAAAAAAACCCAAACACCTAAAAAGAACTACTGAAGACAGTGGTCATTTAGAGGAAAAGGAGTTTAAATTAACAAAACCCTCAAAAAGCAGCCACCAAGACAGACAAGGAATACTTCTAAAAATACAAAAAGATTTAACAAACACCTTGAATCTCCATTTTGTCCTAGCCTTCTGCTATTCGGTATTTTGCATGATGAAACAACAATAAATCAGATAATTTATTGACTACATTAAGACTCCATATCATATACACTATTGTGACATCTGGATTTAACAGTCTTGTAAACTATGTGATTTAGGTTGATGGATAAGAGAACCCCACATCATACTCTTCTCAACACACCTGATGCTTATTAAATTATGTCTAAACCCAAAGTGCTAGGCTTAAGCATAGTGCATTGGAAATCTATAGAAAAAAATAGCGTTTGAGAAATCATATTTATTGCTCTAAAACTCAGGAAAACACCATTCATACTGTAATACTTTCAAAGCTGTGCCAAACAATTTAATTCCGTGTTGTGCTGTTTAACAGCAAATTCATGAGTTGGAAATGTTAGAATTCATTGTTAGAACAGCAACACTGTATTAACTGAATAAACGATGCCCATTAAGACTTCTTTAAAAGTCTGGGTTTGTTTTTATTCCTTTTCTGTACCTTAAAATCTCATTATCTTTGTTCTCTCTATCTGTATCAATTGAACGTACTTACCCGTCTCATATCAGGATCACTGGTGTTGACAACTTTAGGCAAAAGCACAAATATCAGTAATGGAAGAACCATCATCATCACCTACACAGAAAACAGCAAATACTTCTTCAGCTTATTTGTTGCTCCAGACGTTTTTAGACATACTGACATAAAGATTTAGCTGAACAGCCGAATTCTAGAACTACTGCATTCTGAGTCAGTAACCCAGTAACAGCAATCCACTTGTCATGCAAGAAAACTGATAAGGAAGTATTATGTTTTAAACAATAGATTTCAAAGTTGGACCATTAAAGTAAATGCTTGTTATCTCTTTCAACTGTTAGAACTACAGTCTCGCAACATGTTGATCTCCACACTACTAGACCAGACTATGGGCTATTTTCAGAGGACATACGTTAATGGAGCGAGTATACAGGGGAGGAGAGATCATAGAAAAACCTTCTATTTGTAAACACATAAAAACCAAAGAAAAAACAATCCTCTCAGAAGAGCAAAGCGTGCACATGTTTTCTCAACTGTTTTACTCCCGGTATTCTGAAGGATAGCTATATTTGGATCCTTAGCATACTTTTAACCTTTGTGTGTTGCTTGTACGTACCATAGGGTTCATGAGGAAATCTGTCCATCCCCAAGATTCCCTCTTTATAAAGTATGAAGGAGGTCCAGAAGATTTCATCTGGAGTGGGTATGGCAGCCTGACAACTTCAGAGGTTTTAATGTAATTCACATATCTTGCTCTAATAAGCAAAATGTAAATAATTAAAAATATAAATACAATCTCTAACAAATAATAACGGTAATTTAATAATATTCCAAAGTTTTAATAACAGACTACACACAAAACCATCTGCGAGGCAGTGTCAGATAGGCTTCACTTTTCAGAAGCTAATTTCTCTCAGCAGCATACTTTATGGAATCAAATGATACTCTACATTTTTCCAGGCTAGCTATTAGGCTTGATATGGAAAACAGACTTGCAGATCAGAAACATCAGAACTATTTTTTCAAATGTGACTTCTGCAAAACATTTTTTCTCACCTTGGTAACGAGCAAGAAAAGCAGCAATGTTTAAAGAGAAGGTACAGCTTTGAACAGTGTAGCGTAGCTTAAGCAGAGTTTGCTCTGGGCAACAATTATTTATTTATATATGAAGTTAATACTACCTTTTCCCCGTAGTGCAATTTATCATAATTTGCATTTATCAACACTGAATCTCAGTCTTTTTTACTTTACAAGGTCTTCTTTTGATAGTTCTTCACTAGTATTCTTCACTTGGGCCTAGTATTTAGATAGTTACTTGGCACTATCATCTAACTTTGTCACTCTTCACCCATTTTTCATGATTTATGAATACTTACCCGTCTTGAGCAACTCCAGGCATGACTTCTGCCCATTACAAGAGAAATAATTTATTCCTTCTGAATTTTTCACCAAATATTCATCCACAGAATGTCCTTCCCTCCTACCTTATAACTACATATTTTCCTCCAAAGCTTTTGAGATTTTCAAGTAGCTTTTATCAAACACATCCGTTATCCACATGCTGTTTCATCTTTTTGTTTGTTTTCAGTGGTTTTTTTTTTAAGGCAGAATTTCCCTTAGAAAAGCCCAGTTGACGTTTCCCCCCCCATGTATCACATTTTTTCGTGCATCTCCCAGCTGTATTCCTCATTATAGTTCCTACCTGTTTGACTGGTAGAGATGTCAAGCCCACTGGTACTTTGCTCTGCAGACATACCCTAGTAGTTTAGTTAAATGTCAAATTTGTTACCTCTAGTTCTCAGACACCAAAACAGTGCTAAGTCAGAGGTTATACACAGTATTGTGTCTATTTCACCAAGTTCCTTCCGTATTTATTACATATTGATTGTTGCCAATTAGATACTGCCTAACAAAGTACAAAAATAAAAATTTCATAAAGCTTGAAAAAAAAATCTAAGCACAAATTGTGCTATTATTATAATAAACAGACTGTTTGCACTGTTTTCAGTTTGAGATTTCAATTTTTAACCTTCCCTAAAAATACTGCTGCAGTGTTTTTATTGATGTTTGTACTCCTAAAACATAATAGCATATTTTATAAGATACTGTAAAAGACAAACTGGAAGTTAAGATACTACATGTGCACCTGAACAAAGAAAAAATTAACTACAAACATATTCATTTAAATGAAAATCACCTTATTAGATAGGATAGCCATTTTTCTGTATTACTTACTGAATAGTGTGCAGTTACAGATGCACAGTTATAGTTGTTAGAGATAACATTATCTGGCCATAACATAAAAAATAGCTAACAATGCTACAGAAATACTGCAGGCTGGCAACCACCAGCATTTGCCAGTAACTGTAAGGAGTATCTTATGGAAGCGTAACATAAATTTTTTGGAATTTGGAATTAGAATTTCATTGTGCCAAGTCTTGACAGAACATTTACCAAAAAAGAGAGGAAAAAGGGAAGAAGAAAAAAAAATGTATTGGCAAAAGATAAAGCAATTAACTAGATTTTATTTCAGGATAGCTGCATAAGAAAATAACAAGAGTAAACAAGTAAAAGGACTCTTTTTATCCATTTCCTCTTATTTAAGGCTATACATATGAAACAAAGAAGGAAATCAGACTGGATTTTAAGAAATGTGCTCCCAGAAGTGATGTTAAAAGAAGCTGAAACATGATCTGAAATGGAACACGAGATCTACAGTACTGTCTATATTACTTCTTATACTGTGCTGTCAGGCATACTTAATAGATCAATACAGAAGCAAATCAGGAAAGGCTCACCTCATTTTGCCTTTTGAAGTTATGTCGACTCGCACAGGCTCAAATTTATGAGCAGGGGATATAACTTCCACTACATAAGATCCTGAAGGTACATCGTGAACCACAAAACTTCCATCTGTCCTGAAAAAAACAGTAAGTTCCACTACATTTCAATATGCTCCAATACACAAGAGAGGGTGCTTTATTTGTTTTAAAGAAGAAACTGTAATAGTATCATTTAATATTATAAATCTTAATACAACAACAATGACCAAAAGGAAAATTTAAATTGCTTAGCACTCATAATATCAAGCCCCTTAAGGTCATTCATCAATGTGTGCCACAACAGTAGCAGAAATTACCATTTACGTTAAAGATTTTCTCATGCCCTCAAGCTATTGTCTTGATGGAGGAATAATTTAACAGCCAAAGTAAGATTTGAAATGGTTAGATTTCATGTATTCAAATGATGGCAGAATCAACCTACACCTTCCTTCTCCTTCTGAAATACACACAATGAAGTTTACTTTGCTTCAGTACGCACACAATGAAGTTTACTTTGCTTCAATACTTCTGCTGGAAGCAAAAAAAAACCCAAATTGACATCCTACATAGTGTGGGTAGATATTAGAGATGACTCGCAATGCACAAAAATTGCGGTTTGTGCCTTTATTGCAAAATAGAGGTTTTTACTTTTAATCGCTCCCTTTAGGACTAGCCCACGCTGGAAAGCTCTATCACAACAATAAGGAAACAAAGAGCTCTGAACATATCCACAGAAGGGATTTTTAGACAGACTACTTGCATTTTAAAACATGAAACTTCAATATTTGGTGAAAATATTAGTAAAAGGATACCTGAAAGCTTCAGCACCAGTTGCTATTAAATTAAAAGTACAGAAGCTTGTAGTTTTCCTCCTACATGCTTCCAGAAGTTTCCAGAAGAAAAACTTAGTGTTATCTAGCCTTTTACAATTAATATAAAAGACACCTCTCCTAAAAAATAAGACTCAAAGTTAAGACAAAAAAAGTTGTTCAAAGAAATAAAAAAAGTAATAAAACCTGACACATTAGAAACTTGCATCAGGAAAAAAAAATAAATAAATGAACCCTCGTAAAAGCAAACCCTCAAAAAGAATTTTGTCCTTATGTCCTTCACACAAGTTTTCTCTCTCAAAGATGTATATCACTTAAGGACCTTCCCACCACGGAGACAGAAGCATATAACCACTACTGTGTAGATGGGTTTCACTAATACTTTATGTGATGATTTGAACCTCCAAGAATGCTTACACTATCTTGTATTGCAACTGCTATAAGGATGTTTTCCTAGGAATTTCCTTTTAATTTTTAATTCTTTAGAGTATTATTTTGATAAAATTATAGTTTTCTTCTAAAGATTTATTTATATGACAAAGCAAATTCTCACTTCATATAGTGCTATCCTACACTGCTTTTTTAGAAGAAAAAAAGTTTCATTTTTGTTACAGTGGGGAAACCAATCAGAATTATAAAAATGCCTGTACTAGAGAATGATTCTTGAAATACTCAAAAAGCAGCTTTGCTGTGTCAAATAATTATTTTCCTCTTTTTGATAACTGGAATGACATCCATGTAATATATAATCAAAACCTACCAGAGAGATGGTGACAAATATATCTCCTGATATACCAAATACATTTAAATCTGTCACCAAAAGTGAAGGGTCTTTCTACTGAGCCTGAAATATCACTGTTATTTAAGAAAACCGTTCTTTCTTCTAACACAGTTCTTACTAAAAATATACTGCCATCCAGTACTGTGCTCATTACAAGTGACAAAAAAAATCCCAACCAACATTAAAGCACTTTTGCCAAAAAGTACCATACTTAGGGTAGTGCAACATCTACAAATATGTTTATCAAACTGAACAAGTGACATAATATTGCTTGGATTTAAGTTATATCAATATAATTTGATACACCTATAAACAGACATATCAAATTAATGTAATCAATAGAGCTTGGTATCTAGGTTACACTGTCATAAATACGGTATGCTCTTAGGTAAGACTATTTCCTCATATTTCAGACAACTCAAGTTCCAAGCAAGCATTTGGAAGCTTACCAACTCCATGGTATTTATTAAATCAGCTACTAATTATGCCAGGCTCCCACAACATGGTTGTACTGGCTTATCAGGTGCTACACTGACAAGATTCTGCAAGTTTTGCAGAGTAAAATCTGTTGTGTTAACCCAACGACAGTTCCCAGAGTCAAAGTTCAGTTCAACTTCTACTGTGGAGGGAATAATTAAAAATGATTGGTATTTATGAGATGGTGTATCTTAATTTCATATAAACTTTCTCATTTTAACACATAATTTTAAAAGGAATGTATTATACTGTACTGAAGATTACAAAAATTCTTTTAGAATTAGCTTCTACTCTTCGAACTATGAGATCAGTTCAATTTTAATTGAGGACATTTTCTCTGCCTTATTATCTCTAGATCCTTTGCTAATCTAAATATACCTACTACCACCTGAGACTGCTAATGTGATTCTTTACAGCTTCCACATACATTTGCATGATCTTGTGTGAAGCAATAAAGCCATATCCCTTGAAATGGCTTTCGCTGGTACAGTGAAAAAGTTTTTCACAGGTACTGCAATAGATAACTACAACTCTTAACTTTTTGCCACAAACATTTCTCCAGAACGAGTAAATTCTTAGCTAAGGAGGGGCTCTTAAAAAAAGTGTCAGAATTCGCACCCGCAAAAGCCGAGAACATCGCCCTCCAGAATTTAATGCAAACGTGTTTTTTGTAAATTAAAACTTAGTTCCACCTTTTCGAAGGATGAAGAGCCAGCGGCCTTAGTCACCGATTTGGTTACGTCTGCAGGAGGCCGAGAACAGCAATCCCTACAGCGCTACAGGCTCCCACTGCAGGCCCGGCCGTGTCCAGTGCCTTACAAAGTCAGGGACGAGCAAAGCCGCAGTCGGACGCGAGGCGTTCGCCTCCGCAGCCGTGCGCTGCTAACCGGGGCAAGGCCGCTAACCCGCAGGGACCCGCTCCCCTCTGCCACAGCCGGCCGCCATCTTACGGCCCCGACTGCAGGAGGGAGGCCAGGCGTGCCCGGGGCGCGGAGGCGGAGGGTATCTCCGAGCGGCACCCGCGGCGCCGGGCGACACCGGCCCGAGCCCGGCGAGGGACGCCTCCTTCCCCGCCGGGACCAAGCCCCCCGCCCCGCCCCGCCCGCCGCTCACTTCAGGAAGCCGACGTGCTCCTCCCCGTCCACCAGCACCCGGGCCCCCGCGATCCAGTCCTGCGGCTTCACCCCGGGCACCACGGCCCGGCCCTCGATCTTAAACCGCTCCCCAGGGCCCGCGCCGCCCGGCGACTCCGCCGTCCCCGCC